ACTCTGATTTTTTATAGTAAAAATATAATTTCTTTTTTTAATACAAGTCATGTACAAGGTATCCCAGTCCTACGACTTCAAAGGACATATTTACTATATAGAAACCCCTTGTTATGCAGACATTTCAGGTAATTGGGGTCATTTTTCCCGGGATGTGACCCACCCCAGTCGACAAACCCACCCAAGGTCCCCCTTTTTTTTAAATGATGGGTGAACATAGAAAAACTGGTTTTAAAGGAAACAGCCCGTATTTTCCACCCTTAAACCGGGGAAATCAAAACCCGGGGAACCCTCACCATTTTAAGCGAGAGCTTTTATTTATTAATTCTAGTAAGTTTTTCAGGTAAAACCAAAAAACCAGTTGCTTTAGTTTATCATACATACATATTGTAAAAAGAACCTAGGATAATGAAAAAAAAGGGTCAGACACACGGAATTATTCCTTTAACCCTTAAATGGCCCAAACAGTGGGACTTTTCAATTCGTAGTGCTCCAAAAAGAGATCTACTTTTTTTTACAAATTTTCAAAAAAAAAAAAAAAAAATGTAAAATAAAATTTTTTTTACCCTTTTTTTCAAATGTAAAACAAAAAAAAGATCTACATTTTTTTTTCCCATATTTTCCCAGATGTTGAAAAAACGAATATCCCAGTGGACCCCCGCATAACTTTGGGCCACAAGCGTTTTTCCGCTTTACCGTTTATTTTTTATCGCAAAATTTTTTGCCGCGAATACCGATTAAAAAACCCCGTTTTTCCCCGTTTTCGCCCAACCCGGTCCAATGTGCCCTACATGTGGGGCCGTCCCATTGTTTACCGCCGGGCCACCGCGGAAAACATCCAAGCATCCCTCGGAATATTTCGTATTATTACAGTGTTTTCGGTTCGTTTCTGGAAAATAAATGCCAGGGCCCCCAAAAAAGCTTCAAGTTTCCAACCCTGTGGTAAAAAGGGTTTAGAAAAAAATTGTATGGAAATTAAAGAAAAAATTTTGAAGGGTTTTTGGGGGGGAACCCCTTTTAGAACCATGGCCCCGTTGTGGGGAAACCAAATTGTGCCCCATTCAAAAGATTAAGGAAAATGTGTGCACAGTTTGGGTTTTGAACTGCAAAAACCCTTTTTAAAATTTAAAATCACCCTACACAGCGTTGCAAGCCCCGGGGCTGGGGACTATTTCAATGAACCAAAAGTTATGGGGCCCCTTGTTAGGAAAGTCTTTGAGGAACCGGTTGAAAAGGGACAGGAAACCCCCTAAAGGGGCAGAAATTTTGGGTTTTTGCGACAGAGGGGCCAGTGACTCTCAAGCTTGGGCCAAATGGGATTTAAAAAAAAAAAAGGGAAAATAACCCCAAAAAAGGACTTGCTACCTCAAGTTTCCCAAAAGGGAAAGGGGGTTTTCCCCCTTTTAAACAGTTTTAAAAAGATAATGCTTTTCCCCCCCCCATCCCCTCAATCATCCCAGAAACTTCCCAAAAAAAATTAAAATGGGCATTTAATTGTGCATGGGCCCTTTTTTAGTTTTGTGTGTATTAAAAATTAACTTTTATTGGTAAAAAAAAATTTTTTTTTTTACTTTTGGGCGCTTTTCAAGGAAATTTTTTTATTTCCATTATTTTTTTTGGGAAAATTCATTCGCCTAAAAAAATTATTTCCCCAAAACGATGAGCCCCCTTGCCCCGGAAAAAAAAATCGTTTAAACCGGGGGGCCCCCCTGTATTTTGGGTTTTTGGGTGTAATATACTATTTGTGCCCCGACAAAGTTGGGGGGCCAAAAGGGAATGAATGTGCAGAAGTTGTGATAAAAACTGACAAAAAGGTGTCCCCTCCCCTTTTTTCCCTGTATGTTTTCCCGGCCCCCGGCAGCTTTGCTTAATTTCACACAAAAAAATTACCATAGAACTTTGCAAAACCCTACCCACTTTACATATTCCAAATGAAAATCACATACATTTTAAAAAGGTTTGCTGAATAAAAACCCCAAAAAATAATAGCAAATTCACCAAAAAATTTAGAGGACCTGTAAAAAAAAACAAAACAATAGCATGTATCTGTCACACGACCTTAAAAAGCCCCATTCATCAGCCCTGTTGTAAGAAAGTGGCTTTAGAGTGTAGTTTAAAAAACAACAAGCAGCATGTACAGTACTATAGGGTCCAGCCCAAAATGGGCATTTGGTTCCCCCTGTTTTTTTTTTTTAAAGAAAGGTTTTCCATAAGAAAGGGGCTCTATAGATTTAAGATAAGACAAAAACCTTGCCTATGGATTTACCTTTTTCTGTGTGTGTGACCCTTTTGGGATGCTGCTTTAGGCATTTTTTTTTGTTTGACCCACAGTTTTCACCTATTTTACATTTAAATTTTTGGGTTTCGTAAGGGTATAGAACTTTTAGGAAAAAATTTTTAATTTTCAAACTGTTTAAATTTTTAAAGGTTTTTAAAACTTAAAGCCCAAAAAATTCTAAACTAGGGAATAAAGGAAAAATGGCCATGAAGACATTCACCTAGTCATTTTGCCCCTTGGACTGAATCATTTTACTGAGTTTTTTCCATAAAGGAGGGGGCTTGGTTTTCTTTTGTGTGTGTACTCACCTAATTGTGGTTGCAGGGGTCGAGACTCAGCTCCTGGCCCCGCCTCTTCACCGACTGCTACTAGGTCCTCTCTCCCCCTGCTCCATGAGCTTTATCATACCTCGTCATAAAACTATGTATAGTTCCTGCCTCCACTACATCGCTTGCCAGACTATTCCACTTCCTAACTACTCTATGACTGAAGAAATACTTCCTAACATCCCTCTCACTCATCTGAGTCTTCAGTTTCCAATTGTGACCCCTTGTTTCTGTTCCCATCTCTGGAACATCCTCTCTCTGTCCACCTTGTCTATTCCACACAATATTTTGTATGTCGTTATCATGTCTCCCCTGACCCTTCTGTCCTCCATTGTGTATGTGTATGCTTGTGCATGCTTGTTTGCGTGCACACGCATGCACATTCCTTTATTGCATAGAGTACATCTGGTCTTAGTGCTCTGTAACATTAAAAACTTCCTTCTTACTTGTCCTCAGCGCTTCTGATTCTTGGCCATAACATCAGCCACCCTTTTACCATTTACTTTTCAAAAGGAAGGGAAATGGGGGTCAGTGCAAGTGCCAAGGAAGTGGCACTTTCCTCCCCTTCCTTGAACACTTCATTATTTCCTTCCATTTTCCTACTGCTGTGCGACCCCTACAGATTGTACACTTTTTTTCTTCATTCATTGTTTTATTTCAATGTTCCATGACTGGAACAGTACACAAACAACCCACACATAGGAGAGAAAGGCTTATGACAATGTTTTGGTCCAACTTGGCTACAAGTCACAGTGTGACTTATAAATGGTGCAAGTTTGACTGAAACATTGTCATAAGCTTCTCTCTCTCTCCCATGTACAGGTTATTTGTGTACTGTTTTATTTCCTTATATGGTACAAATAATGTAGTTTACATGTAGTAAAACATTGTTAGGCACAAAAGAGAGCCACTAGTATGCAATGCATTGCAGGCAAACTAATCTTCTTCACTCTCTATAGCTGCTTATTTAGTTTTTACTCAACATTATAATGATTTTATGCATACAGGAGAAAATTGAAAATGAGGTATCTGAGAGCAGTGCTGGCAGGGGATCACAACCAGCTCACCAGCCTGTGTTGCTCTGTTAGTCCTTATGTAGAGCGGATGCCTACCACCAGAAGATTATGTCACCTGGCTTCTTTTCTTCCTTGTGGGACACATCGTGCACATCATCTGCTGGTAACTAATTATTTTTTTTTTTATTCTTTCTGGCCTTCTTGGGAGAGAGATATCATTGTGCCCATTAAGATGGCCCTCAAATCATTGAACACAGTTTGATCCTATGAATTATCTTCAATTAGATATAAATATTTAATTTAGCAGTGCTTTTATTTAGACACTTATGCTACATATGGGAATCTTTATTGAAGAAACATTTTGCCACACAGTGGCTTCATCAGTCCAATACAAAGCAGAAAGTTGCAAGGAGAGGAGGAGTTTGAGATAATCAGTCCCTCAGCCTGGAGCCGATGAGTTCAGTCCATCAATCTTGTAGGAAGTACAGCATAGGACTGTAGAAGTGGCTTATATACTGTGGTCAGGTGAGTCGAAGCAGGAGGCTAGATCACAGTGGTACCATCCACTAGTGTAAGTAGGTCTTTGTCCAAGGACTGGAAAAGTGTAGAAGAATTCCTTGTTTTGATGAAGACCTAAACCTGTGTGAGGTGTTCAGCAGCACTGGACCACTATGGTGCACTCTTTGCTAAATCTGTGTGATTCATGAAGTGCATTGAGTGTTTGTACTTGATATTATATTTGTTTATCGCAACCCAGTTTTTAACCAGTTGGGTAAAGTACAACTCCACCTGTGCTTAGAAAACTTTTATTAATTCTTTAAGACATAGAATTAGGAGAGTGTAATTGGAAAGAGTGAGAAAAACTTAATTGTGGCAATTCTTGTAACACACTGACCTTCTCCAACTGAAGTAGGGTGATCTCCCCCAAGAAAAGAGGAATCACACTCACTGTCATTCACTCATTTGCTGTCTTGCCACAGTTCAGATGACTCTGAACTACAATATCCTTGGTCCCCCAAAGTGCAGGCACTGTACTTCCCAACTCCAGGATTCAAGTCTGACTTAATCCTTTCATAAATGCTACATTCCTAACACTTCAACATTATGTTAAGTCATAAAAAAAAACCACATGCCCAACTCGCTCCAACTGTGGTAATTATTTTATGGTATTGCTAGGGCTTTTTCAGTTCTTTATTTTATACAGTGGACCCCCAACATACGATGGCATCGACATTCAATAAATCTGACATTCGATGCATTTTAACGCAAAAATTTCGTCTTGACATTCAATGGAAAACCCGACATTCGGTACGATTCGTACAAGACATGTCCACATATGGCGTTAACTGCCCCGTGTGTGCCAGTGTTTACAAGCCAGCTAGTGTGCACGCATCTAAGGATACATTCGGTACATTCCATATTATCCATATTATCACTGTTTTTGGTGCTTGTTTCTGCAAAATAAGTCACCATGGGCCCCAAGAAAGCTTCTAGTGCGAACCCTTCGAGAAAAAAGGTGCTAATGACTATTGAAATGAAGAAAGAGATAATTGCAAAGTACGAAAGTGGAGTGCATGTGTCGGAGTGCATGATGATTTGGTAAAGAAATTGCCTGCAACTAGTGGTGATGTGAGTGAATTTAAGGCCAGCAAAGGTTGGTTTGAAAGATTTAAGAATCATAGTGGCATACACAGTGTGGTAAGGCATGGTGAGGCTGCCAGTTCAAGTCCTAATGGAAGGGGATTCCCCTTCTAAACACTCACACCATCCACACTCTCCCCTCCTCCCATCCCATCAATCATCACCAGATCTTCATTAAAGGTAAGTGTCAGTTATTCTATTGTTATTGTAATTATTCTATTGCATTAAACTTAATATTTCATGTTGATAAATTAGACACATGTGCAACTCTTGGGTATCTTTATTGAGGAAACGTTTCGCCACACAGTGGCTTCATCAGTTCATCAGTAAATTTTTTTTTCATACTTTTGGGTGTCTTGCATGGATTAATTCAATTTCCATTGTTTCTTATGGGGAAAATTAATTCGACTTTCGACATTTTCGACATTCGATTAGCTCTCAGGAACGGATTAATATCGAATGTCGGGGGTCCACTGTATTATCATGTGTGTTCCATTGTTTATTCACGAGATTGCCTTGTGTGAGCACTTTGCAATAAGTTATTACTGTATATCCGTTGCTCCAGAATTCTATGATTTTGATTAGGAAAAATTCTTATTAGGTTTTAATTAAAGAATATGTTTGATTTTAAGTCAGATGATGCTTCATCTTTTCTTTATGATTTGTGATAAAACATATTTAATGTGTTCCTCTCTAAACACTTGCAGATACCCATGGTTCAAGCCTCTCATGACCCCAGCTGGTTGAAGCAGGGGTCACAAGAACAAGTGCTTCATGGCTCACTTGATCTGTGCTGGTCACAGCTGGGGCCAAGGACAATATGCAGTGCAACACAAGCCAGAGAAGCCACTGTGGAATGGGTACCACTCTACCAAGATAGGATCTTCTCACCTATAAAACCAAGTTCTCACTGGAAGATGATTAAGAATTATTTTAGTTAGTAAAAAGTATTTGTACACTTAATAAGGGCATAATGCTGACAGTAATAGACATTTACTGCAGTGAAGTTTTTATTGGTACAGTACAACACTTCACCCATGAGTGGGCTTCATCAGGCACTTGATAAGCCCAATATTACATGAAATGTTGTACTAACATAGACTTTATTGGTCTGACCATTTTGAGCTTGGCATAATAAGTCAAAAAATATTACTAATATATACTGATTAAATTTCCTTTTGATACATGATTTTGTAAGAGGGAGAAGTTTAAAAAGAAATCTGTATTATGCTCTTTTCCTGATAACTGGTTTAGTTGGTTCTCATTTCACTAGGTGCTCCTTGATTTACGATGGGGTTCCATTCCGAAAAACCCATCTTGGGTTGAAAATATCATATACCGAAAATGAATATGATATGATAAATAAATAATAAATAAATAACTAGTGCCACTGAAAAAGCAAATACATAATTACTTTAAATAACTAAATACCAGTATTGAAAAGTCAGTAAATGAATGCATGTTTATCCTATCAATAAATGTGCAGTACTGTATGGTACAAAAGAAAAAGTTTTACAATACAGTGGACCCCCGCATAACGATCACCTCCGAATGCGACCAATTATGTAAGTGTATTTATGTAAGTGCGTTTGTACGTGTATGTTTAGGGGTCTGAAATGGACTAATCTACTTCACAATATTCCTTATGGGAAAAAATTCGGTCAGTACTGGCACCTGAACATACTACTGGAATGAAAAAAGTTCGTTAACCGGGGGTCCACTGTACATTGACTTGATTACCTAAGGATGATGAAGGTACAGTACTTGTAGTGATATGTTGTACAGGTACTCACTGTTAACCCTTTCAGGGTCCATCCCATAGATCTACGGCTTCACGTTGAGTGTCCAAACCGTAGATCTACTCCAAAATTCTAGCGCCGTCAAATTTAGCGCAAAAACGCTCAAAGGCCTACATGTGAGAGAATGGGTCTGCGTGTTGGGTGTGCACCATAAACAAAAAATCTAGGCTCCCGCATAGCATTGTGGGAATGCCGGCTCAGTTACCCTTGTTCACCATGCCTTGTCGCAGGGCAGCTCTCACTCCAAGGAAAATTGGGACTTTCCTGTTCCTATCTGATAGTTCTGACAGTGAGGGAAGTGGAAATGAAGACGAATTCTTTGGCTTTGATCAGTTAGTGACCGAAAGGAATGACCAGGATATCGATAATAGTGCAGAAAACCCTGACGATCCTCAACCTTCTACCTCTGGTGTGGGCACTCGTCAGTCACGGTCGGTTGTACCTCAACGAAAGAGAAAACTATTATTTTCGTGTGGCCAGGCCTCTGACTTCAGTAATGATGATGATAGTGATGTGGATTGTGATTTTATTGCTCTTGACGATCATTCGAGTAGTGATAGTGAGGAATCATATTCACCAGTGAAACATCGGTATGTACGCTACTGCATGCGCTTGGGTAGTGTACCCTATGCCGTGCCAAGGGGATGGAGTACATCCCGGAGTACATCCTGGAGTACATCCCGTGGCCCTACACTAGGTATAGATAGTGATAGTGAGGATGATGTGGCTACACTTGGCATGGATAGACCACAAGCATCACTAGATGGTGGTAGTGGTGATAGTAGTGCCTCGGCCATGCGTGACTCACCAGCCCAGGCTGGGACCCACGCTGCTGACTCCGCAGTTCAAGGACAGAACGGAGTGTCAGCCACCAGCCCACCACAACCACAACTGCCTGCACAACCAGCCTATGATGTCCAGTATCCACCAGCAAACCGTATCTGGGATTGGCAGCAAAATCCCAATTTTGTTCCCAAGCTCCACCACTTTGATGACTCTGAAAGTGGAATTCTACCAACTTGTCCCCTTGGAACCACGGCCAATGAACTGGAATTCTTGAATTATTCTTTGACTAGCCATTGATGGAAACTATTGTCAGGGAAAGTAATAAGTATTTTGAGTACACCATGGCAAATACGATCATATCACCACAGTCAAGACTACATCAGTGGAAAGAGACGACTGTTGCAGAAATGTATTTGCTTTTTGCAACAATAATGCTTATGCCTCATGTCTATAAGCATAATATAAAAGCATACTGGTCCACAGATCGGCTAATTTCTACCCCGGTCTTCAGTGAAATCATCCCAGTGAACAGATTTATCTTACTGTTACGTATGTTGCACTTCTCTGACAAAACCAGGCCTGACAGAAGTGACAGGTTATACAAGATTAGAAATGTTTTCATGTATATCAAACAAAAGTTCAGCATATACTTTTATCCATTCAAGAATCTTGTAATTGACGAGTCTTTGATTTTGTTCAAAGGTAGGCTGTCATTCAAGCAGCATATACCGAGCAAGAGGAAACGCTTTGGTATAAAACTGTTTGTACTCTGTGACTGTGACAGTGGCCTGGTATTGGATATTGTTGTATACACAGGAAGTAAAACATTGAAAGATACCAAGATGTTATTGGGTATCTCAGGTGACGTAGTGAGAAGCATGATGGCACCTTATCTTGGTAAGGGGCATACATTATATACCAATAACTGGTACACAAGCCCATTACTCAGTGATTTCTTGCGAGTGAACAAGACAGATGTGTGTGGCACAGTGTGTTCTAATCGTAAACATATGCCCAGGCTCAACACAGGTGCTCGTGGTGATGACGTGCAGGTGTTTACTGCCAATGACATCATGGCATTATGGTGGCATGACAAACGAGATGTCACATTGTTGACAACCATTCACCGTAATGAAATGCAAGACAGTGGCAAAGTTGATCGAGTGACTAATGAACGTATTCGAAAACCAGTGACAGTGATTGATTATACACGAAACATGCGCTTGGTTGACAAATGTGACGTGCAGATTGGCTTTGTTGATTGTGTTCGTAAAAGTTACAAGTGGTACATGAAACTTTTCTTCCATCTCATGGACATTTCAATGCTCAATGCATATAATATGTACCAAATGAAGACTGGCAACAGACCACCGTATGGTGAATTTTGTTTGTCTGTTGTCAGACAACTCATAATGAAGTACCAGGTAACAACACCTGCTATACAACAAGGTCCTCGAACTCCTCAGGATATACCCAAGCATTTGAAGAGGGAAGGTGATCATTTCATAATACAGCTTCCTTCAACTCAGAAGAAATTTGCTCAGAAGAGATGCATCGTCTGTGCACAAACAAAACGACGGCAACAAAGACGCAAAGACACTCGGTTTATGTGTGAGGAATGTAAGGTGCCTCTGTGCATGGTGCCTTGTTTCAAGGAGTTCCACAAGCTCCAGCAGTTCTAAAACCATGTCCAGTGATTGTAAATATGTAAATATATGATAGAACATTAGTATTATACAAGATTTGTGCATGTTTATTGTAATAAACAACAGTGGTAAACAATAATATGATAATAACTTTAGTGCAGTTATTGTGTTCAATACAGTGAGTTTATATATATACATTATATACAGTATTGGTCTCTCAGGCCCCAAATGTTAGTAAGAAAAGAAAAAATTGGAAAAGAAAAGAAAAAACTGCAAAAACTGATAAATAAAGTAATGCGCGTATGTGGAAATCATCGATGTTGCCGCCACCAGGTCATTTTGGACAAACTTCTCGGCACTGTATCTCGGTAAGTACGGATCAGAAATTTTTTTTTTTTGTCTTATTACCTTCACAAAAATATGCTCTTTAATTCTGTAAGAAAATTTTTTTTTTTTTTTTTTCAAAATTTCTTGGACACTGGAGCACCACTTCAGATTTTGGCCTTGGACACTGAAGGGGTTAATGTAGTCAGCGGAAAGCACACTGGGCATGAATAATGTTGTGAAAAAAAGAACTTACATTAATTGCTGAGAGATGATTGCCGGGAGGAAGAAGCTGGGTTGTTGACACTTGTTGACAGTTCAATAACAGATGCAGGGTTCCCCAGGAAGTTATCAAATTTTGACTGAGCAGTTTGCTTCTTTTCATTATAAATTTTTTTATAGTAAGCAAGAGCATCCAGTATTTGTCTTTCAAATTTTGTAAAGCTCTCATAATTAACTTCCATTTCTTATGCCATCTGCAGACCGCTGTTGAAACAAGCGTCTCTGCCAATTTTTTCGTTGTAAACTTTCTTGATGTGTCGGGTATAACTTATGCTTCCTCTGCCTCTGCTTCTTTACTTCTTGCTTCCTCCAGTCAGATCAGCTCCTCATCGGAAAACTCTTCAGACTCAGTACCAACAAGTTGACGAAGACCTTCATCCATTTCCAGTTGTGGCTGTCTCCTAAGCAATAAATTTTTGTTATTTATTTCATCAAAAGCAGAATTTTTGTTAAAGCCTTTTAATGTGGTGCCTCACCACTAACCTTCACAATTTGAAAATTATGATGCTTTTTGAGGATTTGATCTGCTGTAAGCATTTGTGTATACAAAGGATCATCAGTACACCCTTTTACCCTTAAACTGTCCAAACGTCCATGTGCGGGGACCTCCGAATGTAGATCTACTTTTTTTTACATGCTTTCAAATGGGGAAAATCAAGGTCAGAACACTACGCACGTGAACGTAGATCTATGTTTGAACAGTTTAACCCTTAAACTGTCCAAACAGATCTGCATTCACATGCGTAGTGCTCCAAAAGTAGATCTATGTTTTTTTACATATTTTCAAATACGTATAAAAAAAAAATGTAGATCAAATTTTTTTTTTACACATTTTCAGTTGTAAAAAAAAAAATTTACATTTTTTTACATACTTTCAAATGTTGAAAAAACGTAGATCTACCTTTGGACAGTTTAAGGGTTAAGGGTTAAGTCAAGCAATACGCGTTTTTGTATCTGGTCTTCCATCCATATGACAAGTAATCTTTCCATATCATCAATTGTCCCAGTTTTTTTCTTTGTGATGACAGTGGATGTAATGGATGCAGATGGCTTCACTGCCTCACTGATTCACCTCTTATCTTTTAAGATGGTTGAGATCATTGACTGTGAAAGGCTGCCTTCATGCTGTGTAATTATCTTAAGTTTCATCTCCAAAGTAATTGCTTTCCTCTTTTTCTTCTTACCAGAAGCAGGAAACACTTGCATGTTTAGTAGACATAATGGGCTTGGGAAAATTTGGTTAAATGCAGAAAAAAACACCATATGATATGTTGCTAAACACTGCATGAGATGACTACTGAATATGCATTACTATTGCACCATCGTAAAGTCAAAATATTAAGTTGAATCTTCGTAAAGCAAGGAGCATCTGGATACATACTGAGATTCCTAATGTGCAGAAGTGGTTAGTCCATTTGCATGCTTAGTGGGGATGTGGAGTTCTGTTGGTGCCCAGGTCATGTTAGTGTCCCAAGAAATGGATGAGCACATGCAAGGGCGAAGGCTGCTATTACAAGCTTGCTCTATAGTAGACTTCTGCCTGAGAGTAATTTCATAGTAAACATGCATAGATATGTCTTTGGGAAGTGGTGAACTTGGTGAGCTCTACAGATTAGCATAAAGTTATATAGGAGTCAACAGGTCATGGGTGTTTGATCCTCCTTCAGCAGGAATAATCACTTTGAGATGAATCTCTGCTGACTAGTGATTTGGCACATATATCTAGCCAAGAATCATCTGTTTACAGGAGCTCCTGCTTCCCTTCTGTGTAGCTAGTATAGTGTAGTTGACTGTGAAACACATTTTTATTACTTGATCATGACTTAGGCCTTTTACTTTTGCCACAGTTGTAATTATCCAGGTGCCTGTAGAATCTTGGACTTTTAGAAGAGTCTTTTGTCATTGATAATTTAATAGAATTTTTCAACCAATGCTGGTTACTTTAACTTGGAATGATAGTATTTATTTCTGTTGAGTGCTTTATTCATGTTACCAGTTTTCGTTGTTTATTTTTTTTTGTGTGTACATACATGTACTCACCTAATTGTGGTTGCAGGGGTCAAGACTCAGCTCCTGGCCCTGCCTCTTCACTGATCGCTACTAGGTCCTCTCCCTCTCTGCTTCCTGAACTTTGTCATACCTCTTGTTAAAACTATGTATGGTTCCTGCCTCCACTACTTCACTTGCTAGGCTATTCCACTTCCTGATGACTCTATGACTGAAGAAATACTTCCTAACGTCCCTGTGACTCGTCTGAGTCTTCAGCTTCCAATTGTGACCCCTTGTTTCTGTGTCCCCTCTCTGGAACATCCTGTCTCTGTCCACCTTGTCTATTCCCTGCAGTATCTTGTATGTCGTTATCATGTCTCCCCTGACCCTTCTGTCCTCCAGTGTCATCAGTCTGATTTCCCTCAACCTTTCCTCGTACGACATTCCCCTGAGCTCTGGAACTAGACTTGTTGCAAGCCTTTGTACTTTCTCTAACTTCTTGATGTGCTTGACCAGGTGTGGGTTCCAGACTGGTGCTGCATACTCCAGTATGGGCCTAACATACACAGTGTACAGTGTCTTGAACGATTCCTTATTAAGGTATTGGAACGCTATTCTCAGGTTTGCCAGGCGCCTGTATGCTGCAGCAGTTATTTGGTTGATGTGTGCCTCCGGTGAAGTGCTCTGTGTTATGGTCACCCCAAGATCTTTCTCCCTGAGTGAGGTCTGTAGTCTTTGTCCACCTAGCTTATACTTTGTCTGCGGTCTTCTTTGCCCCTCCCCAATTTTCATGTTTTTGCTTTTTTGGGCGGGGGTTGAATTCGAGAAGCCATTTTGGCCATGTGCCCCCTTGTCCAGTCTTCTGCAGTCCTCCCTCATCCTCATCTTATTGTTCACCCAACTTATTTTAGCCCCTTTTTATATTATTATTTTTACTATTTCTAATTTAAAAAATTACCTTTTATAGTATACCTACTTCTATCCCAGCCCCATTTTTTGTTCACCCACTTTTTTTGTATTAGCCCCTTTTTTAATTGCTCCTTTTTTTAGTTTTAAAAAAAAAAAAAAAAAAAAATACCTTAGCTCATTTTTTTTACTTTTTTTTAAAAATTCGGGTGCATTTTTTTGCTTAAGACTTTTACTTTTTTTTATACTTAATTCTAACTTAATTCACTACAAACTTTGATTACAAGCTTTGATCCTGATCCCAATCCTTTTTAATGACTTTAAATGAATCCAGTTACTGAAATTACTACACTGCAGAAAAATCAAGGCCTTCTCAGTGAAAAACAAAACTAACATTTTTAAAACTAAAATATGATCTTTAAGCAAGCATTACGATGACCTCATAGATTCCCTAAATTCCTTACATCCCAAATTGTCCTCATTACACTAACTGAAACCTGGCAAAAACCCTGTAGTACAGAGCTATGCATTCCGGTTTACACACCATCAAAACTGTGGGCCCAGCCCAACAAGGGGGTGGCCAGCCATATACTATCAGACCAACTAGAATGTATCATAATACTTGCACAAGGGATGAAATGGGGGAAAATATAAAGCCAAAATTTAAATCCCAAAAAACTACAAAAACCCCTCACATTGATAAACATTACAGAGTTCACAGCAAACATTGCCAATTTAGTCAAAACCCGGAAGTATGAAATGATGCCCATGAACAAAAATCACTTTCTCTCTCAGGTGACTTCAATATAAAATTTCCCGCAAGACCAGGACCCCCACGTTTCTGAATTCACAACACAAGAGTAACTGTATTTTGCTACCAACAGTAACAAAACCTACAAGAGTTACAGAGACTAGTTTTTCCCACGACCCTTTTGGACCAACCCCCATACCCCCTTTTAAAAAATCGGGGCAAAATTAAGATAATACACAGACCACTCCCGACTTTCCTCAAAACAATTTTGGTAAATTCCCCCCAAGACATACTAAAGTCCCCTTCAATTCACAATGAGGCACCCTTTTAATAACTTCAAAACAGCATAGCAAACATTGATGGCACACTGAGCTAAAAATTATACAGTATTGAAAAAAGTATTAAATTTTTCTAAAAAAGCCCCAAATTACCTCAAAACAAGCACTGCCCTAAAAAAAAAACAGATGACAGCAAAGAGACTAAACAGCCCCTGGCTAACACCCAGCTTTCAAATCCAAAATACAAAACCCCA